AGCAGAACCTAGATGCTCATATTGGTTCCCACGTATTCCGAAGATATTTATCGGTCGTACCGTGATGACAACATACGTTATTCCCTTTGTCATCGGTATATTACTTGCCCGAGATTTGATCGTCGGTATCTTCATACCTAGTTCAATCTCATTACCGGCAAGTCTCTTTACTCATTCTGTAATACATCATCCCACAACTAACTCATTAGTCACATTGCTTGCAATGCTTCTTATGATGTGCATTACCGAGAGGGCCAGAGAAACCCCTCCGATATTCGGAGTGACAAATCCTAGTCTCGATCTATGCCAACCGAACAAACACCTTCACAGATACTTGTAGGGCATCTTTACAATCTCCCAGTTATGTTGTGACATTTGATAGCACACAATGCATTCTTCCGGTATCTGGGAGTTGCATAATCTCATAGTTGAAGGATGTATTCGACATGAAGAAAGCAATAGCAATAAAACTGAACGATCAATATGCTAAGCTAATGGATGGGTCTTGTCCATCACATCATTCTCCTAATGATGTGATCTGGTTCATCAAATGACAACACATGTCCATTGCTAGGAAACTTAACCATCTTTGATTAACGAGCTAGTCTAGTAGAGGTTTACTAGGGACACGGTGTTCTGTCTATGTATCCACACATGTATCAAGTTTCTGGTTAATTCAATTCTAGCATGAATAATAAACATTTATCATGATATAAGGAAATATAAAATAACAACTTTAGTATTGCCTCTAGGGCATATTTCATTCATAATCAGCTTCGGGTTGAAGGAGAATAGGACAGGGAGAGGTTTGCTCCTGTGTCTAATCACAAGTCACGCCAACCAGACGTAGTCCTTTTGCAAAAGGGCGAACTGGTCTACCAAATCCTTATGTCGCCATCGAGCACCATTGGTTCATTCTACTCAACGGCAATACCTTCAGTAGTTTATCTTTAGTGCTCTGTGGTTTGATAGCTATCATGATCATCTCCTCATATCTGTACCATGTTTACTTTTGCGTGACCTATCTATTTTGTATGAATTTCTCTCATTCATACATTCATTCATCGTCTGCATCTCAATATGTGATTTCATTGTTATTCATTCCCTAATTCATTCGTGAGCATTTTTGTTCATATTTGTTATTGTTGTTTGCTCTCTCATGCTATTTTGGCTGTTAGCATATTGTGTTACCGTCATCATAGTAAAAATTGTGAGTTACTATTCTCGGACTATCATATTATCTTTCTTCAAAAGATTTGCCTAGTCCTCTCCTTATCTTATCTTTTCATCCAGCTCTATCTTTTTATCTTCATTGTTTGATCTACTCAGTTTATTCCGCTGCAGCGTGTGGTTTTGATTCAAAGTTTTGGAAGAATTTTTGAATCTTCCATTCACCCCTCTCTGGTCGATACACTCTCTCGGCCCTAACACCTAGCTGCCACCTAGTGCTGATTTTTTATCTTGCCAGGCAATATTCACACATCCATTATATACTAAAAAAATGAAATTGCATGTTTTCATGATAGTATATGTAGATAACATGCTGTCAGCCACATAGTTGTACTAGAAAAGGGCATTTCCTTGGAAAAGCGAATAATGAGGGCGAAATGGCATGCTATACTCTCAGTCTGTTGGCATTCACAATCAGCGAGCATCTTATGTTCTTGCATATACTAATGGATCTGAATATTTATGCTAGTTTTGTGCAAAATTTAGTGGCCTATATAGATAGATGAACTAAGATCATTGAGTACATAAATAGACTAGAGATGAATCGAGAGCACGTAGGAAATGGTAGACACGATTTTATTTCAAAGTTATGTGCAAATAATCCTAGAAATTATTTATTGTAGAAAACTCAAAATTTTGAACAAATTCTCATTTCTATGATTCTCAAACATACAAGTTCTTTATCGGGATAGAAGACAGAAAGTAAGCGCACAACCAATTTATGATGTTCCAGTGATCACTTTTGTTCATAAGAACACCGACACATTTTGTTCATATGGAAGTTGATATTGACTTGTGGATCAAAGATTTGGTCTCTTCCATAATAGTTTGTAGTATTCAAGTGATCGAACAATTAGTTTCTTAGTAATTTGGCCATCATATTCTGTAACAGGCCACATCCTATATGTCTGACTTGTGTATTTCCTTAATGGTGGTAGATAACTCGAGAGAAGAAAAATAATGTTCTTCTATATATGTTGAACGAATGCATTGACCAATGGTGTCTTTTGATGAATTGAATATTATGTATCATGTACTTAACATGAATTGAATATTATGAAGTTAATTTTGTGTTAATTTGTGGTGCTTTTACATGTGTGTGCTGAAATGTAAATCCTGATAGCAAGTGTGTCGGCAGAAGTATTGGACATCACATAATCTCGGCATAGCTCAGTGTCAGAGGAACTGTCAGCATAGCAACAGAGTAGCAATATCTGTTGGCATAGCACATTGTCAGATGAACTGCCGGAATAAAACTATATGTAGCTGTAGACCTCACCTACTGTGGAATACTATCTGTGGGCATAGACTTATCTACCGGCAAAGACCTTTCCCGCTAGGACTACAAGTGACAGCTCTTTTCTGTTGACAAAGGTTTTGTCGACACTAAATGTATCGCCTTGCGTGATCTATGCAGATAGATTATTCGACGCTTCTTTGAGTGTCGTGGTATAGTTAGTATATCTATTGTGCTCTGTATCCTTATAGATAATTGTCAGCATTTATCTACCTCTGTTCTTTATTTGTTCCATGCCTATAGTGTTTTGGTATGTTTCAATTTGTTGTACTCAACGTTATCTGTTTGTATGCACGTCTATTAATCATCTGGTTCTACTTTGTTATTTAGTTGGGCTATTTCTTGATGAGCATCTCTCAATAGATTGTTTTTCTTCCGTGATGAGCCTTGCTCATATTGTTGATCTTTGTCCTGTTCCCTTTCTGTGTTACCATTGTTATTGTGAAAAATGCTTTGTCACTGTACTAGAAAAGATTATCATTGCTTTCATTGAAAGTTTTGCGTAGTATTTCAAATTGAGCTTATTATCTTCATGTGCCCGTCCTTATTTAGTTTTAGTGTTCCTGTTGTAGTATTACTTCCACTATATTGTATCGAAAGCTTTGAAGTTTTA